TTCGCTCAAAACAAATTTACTCAAAGTACGAAGACAAGTCATTTGGCCCAATCCAGGAGGAATTCGAGCCAATTCATAACAACCTTCCAAAACGAGATGCCTCAAGTTGATCAATTTCTTGATATCTCTAGGCAATTCCACAAGCGAGATACATCTAGAGAGATCTAGTGTTTCCAAATTTTGAAGTTCGACTATCCAATTTGGAAGTCTCTCAATGGGATTAAAACTAAGATCAAGATATCTTAAATGTTTCATTTTCCTAAGACATTTTGGCAATTTTGTAATTCCCAATCCATCCAAACTCAACATACGCAATGACTTAAAATTTGAAGCAATTGTAGCACAAAATGACTTGTGGAATGACTTAGTCCACCCCCGCCTTTGCCTTAGGAAAAGAAAAGTCCTTAGCTTATTTGATTCCAGCAAGGATGTCGGTATTTTCCATTCCGACGAAGCAACATCAAAATCGAAAGATACATGAAGAAGACGTTTTCCATCAAAATCAGTCTTATTGTGATCTATAATTCTGCTTCCCTCCCCTGCCACTTTAACAGCAAGTTCATTCATGAGATCATGCATTTTACAGCTTTTTATTATACCAAACTCATCTTTTTCTTCTTCTTGGAAAAAAGATCTCCAAACTAGTTCGTTATAATATTCATAACCAACATCTTCCAAGCACTCATTAGGATTTGAAGACTTAACGAACCCTTGTGCCACCCATAGCTTAATTAAATTCTCTATGGGAATCTCATAATCAGGCGGGAACAAACTACAATAAGCAAAACAATGTTTCAAATGTGATGGGAGAACATCATAACTCAGCCTAAGTGTTGGTATAATAGCATCTTTTTCTTGACTTATTGTTGAAAGCTTGTTACTCTTGAAATTCAACCACTTAGTTTCTTGATGTTCAGAGTGTGATGTTTCGAGTACAACATCCGTCCTATGGTCCTTATAGCAAGCGGAACCCCTTTACATTTTCTAGCAATCTCCTCCCCAATCACCTTAATGGTTGAACTTGTTGGCTCTTTTCCATCTTGAAATGCCATTTTCTTAAATAAAGACCAAGACTGTTCTTCATTCAACCCCTTTAACTTATATGGTTTAGCTGTATTTGTTATCTTTGCAACTGTATCAATACGAGTAGTTATTAGTATTTTACTACCTCTTGCACCACCCATCAACAAGTCTTTCAAGTCGTCCCATTTTCCATGATCTTCATTCCACACATCGTCTAACACAAGGAGGTATTTCTTTCCATCTATTATTTTCCTAAGTTCTTTTTGCAACTGATCAATCTCAAGGCTTTTGGCTATTTCATTAGTTGCAGATTGAATGATTTTCTTAACAAGTATATCCAACTCAAATACATTTGACACACATATCAAAATGCTTTTGAACCTCTTCATCGTTGAATACGAGTTGGGCAAGTGCAGTTTTTCCCATTCCTCCAAATCCCACAATGGAAATGGTGGACACATTCTCTGCATTCTCTGTATTCTCTGTAGAGATGGGATGCAACAGAAGTTGAATAATTGCTCTTTTATCTTCATCTCTCCCTATTATATTATCCTCGCGGACAAATGAGTGGGTGACCCTCTCTCTTATTACAAATCGTGCATCTTCGTGGTTCACTTGTAATTGACCAAATGTTCTATTCGAGGTAATCTCATGAAGTCTCTTGTCAAGATCTTTTATCTTATGACCAATTTTCAGCCCAAAAACAAGCTGGTTTGAGCTAGAGAAGAAGATGCATACCTGCTTTGACACTTTATTATTTCCAGGCACCATTTGTC